ACGGCTGCCCTCGAGGCCAAGAAGAAGAAGGACTCCGACGCCAAGAAGGCCAAGAAGGAGATCATTGCCAAGTCCTCCATCCTGTTTGACGTTAAGCCGTGGGACGACACCGTGGACCTGAAGGCGCTGGCGCAGAAGCTGCACGCCATTAAGCGCGACGGCCTGCTCTGGGGCGACCACAAGCTGGTGCCCGTGGCGTTCGGTGTGAAGAAGCTGCAGCAGCTCATCGTCATTGAGGACGACAAGGTCTCCAGCGACGACCTGGAGGATTTGATCATGTCGTTCAAGGACGACGTGCAGTCCATGGACATCGTCGCCTGGAACAAGATCTAGCCCGCCGCTCTGCTGCCATGAAGCGAAATAAAAGAAAATAAACAGGAGGACATAGGGGGAATGAGGCGAGACGCTCCACTGCGCAGTTCATGGCACGTTCGTTTTCTTTTTTGTGCTTGAGGTAAAGTGAATTGGGTACTAAGCATCTCTGGAGGGATAAAATATTCATGAGTGCCAGGGTAGGGGTGCTCTTTTGTTTGTTGGTCTTCTGCTTTCGCTGTGGCTGTGCGTGGTCGCATTGGGATAACTATTGCTCCTGAGCGCATTTATTTTTTTTAACTTTCCTTTGCTTCTCTCTTGGCCTATCCGTGTCATCTTTGTTGCAGTAGGGTGGGGCATTCGCGTACATCATTAGGGGTAGAGGAAGAGGTCCCAGTGCTGGTCAAAGCGGGAGCGTTGAGTGAGTGCTGACGACCACCCACAGCGTTGTTTTGTTTTTGTTGTTGTTTCCTTGTTGTCCTTTTTCCTTTGCAGTTGTGCGGCCGTTTCACACGCCCTTTGCTTGTGTGACTTTGCTGCGCGTGGGGAGGGTGGGTGGCGTTTTTCTTCCAAAAGGTTTTGTTGTGAAAAGCCGCAAGTTTTCGTGGTGTCTGCGGCAGCGCCGACACGCTTGTGCGCTGCCCACGAACAGTCGCGGTCCCCCGGCATCCTGCGGGCGAGGATAAAGGCAGCCCAGCTCCCACCAGTGTGGAAACAAATACTTGAAAAAAAAAAGCATCCACCTGCGTGTGATGTCCGCCGTGGTGACTCGCAAGCGAAGTCGCTCTCAGTCCGCGGAGGAGGTGCTGGAGCAGCGAGTGGCGGTCCCAGTTGTGCAGCGTGAGAAGACCCTTGAGGAGGAAGAGAAGTCCGCCATTCTTCAACTAGTGACATCTATTCTGGAGGACTGGCAGGGTGCGCAGAAGCTTCTCAACGAGGACATCATCCGTACTGTGCTGCGACGTGTGCGACCGGTGTTGATGGCGCAGCCGATGTTGGTGAATCTTGAGGCCCCTGTTAACGTCTGTGGGGACATACATGGCCAGATCAACGATCTTGTAGAGATATTCCGTGCTGGTGGAATGCCACCCGAGTCACGCTACTTGTTCCTTGGCGATTATGTGGATCGTGGAAAGTACGGCACAGAGGTGATCACCGTGTTACTCGGTCTGAAGGTCCTTTACCCGGACAAGATCTGTGTCCTCCGTGGCAACCACGAGTCCGAGAGCATCTGTAGAATATACGGCTTCTTCGACGAGGTGAAGCGCCGCTTCTCAGTGAAGCTGTTCAAGGAGTTTGCAGACGTCTTTAACTGTCTTCCCATCGCGGCCCTCATTGAGGAGATTGCGCTCTGCATGCACGGCGGCCTGAGCCCGGAGCTGCGCAACCTCAGCCAGATCAACCAGATTCGCCGTCCTCTGACGGTGCCGGACGCGGGGCTAGCCTGCGACATTTTGTGGTCTGACCCCGAGGAGAATGGCAGCGGGTGGATGCGGAGCGGGCGCGGGGTCAGCTACACCTTTGGCGAGGACGTCGTGCGGCGGGCCTGCGCCAATCTGAAAATAGACGTTGTGCTGCGCGCCCACGAGGTGGTCGATAACGGTTACGCCTTTTTCTCGGATAGGCGGTTGGTGACAATCTTTAGCGCATCTAACTACTGCGGTGAGTTCACGAACAGTGGGGCGATGATGATGATGGACGAGAACTGCAAGTGTAGCTTCCAGATCTTCAAGCCGCAGTACTAACAGAGGAGGGGGCGAGGGCAAACGCGGAAACGAAACCAAGCAAGCAAGAAGGAAACAATAATAACGCTGAGTCTAATGGAAAAAAAAAAGGGAGCAAGCAAAAACAACAACAACAAGCGAAAAAAAAAAACATATGTGGGAAGAAGTAAGAAGCACTCGGACAAGGAAAGGGAGCGGAAGAAGATGCGGAGCAAAGAAGGAGGGAGGAACAAAAAAAACATGAGGTGTTTGGCGTGCCGAAGAAGAAAAGGATGTCTTTCTCGCAAGCCTGCATTCGTGCTTCGTCATATGTGCTGAATGTGTGCTCGGGAAAGGGGGCATGTGCGTCTGTTCTGCCGGGTGACAGAGGGAGAGGAAGGTGGGAGGGTGTAAATGCCGGGGTTATCACACATAAGACGCCAAGCCCTGAGGAGACTTGGTGGCGCCTTTTAAACTCTGCATACCCGCACGCGCTTGGACTAACACGAATAAGAATAAGAGAAAGAAATAAAGGTGGTGGAATGATTCTTTTCCGTCCCTCTCGCATGTGTGTGTGTGTGTGTGTGTGTAATTTTTCCCCCCTGTGTCACGCTTGCTGGGGCGTTCCTGCAGGCAACCACATGTCCGCGCCGATCTTTCACCCCCCCACCATGTTTTTCTTTTGTAATTTTGTTTGCTTCCTTCTATTTACTTCTATCTGTGTGAGTGCGCGTGTCCGATTATTATTATTGTTTTGTGTTGTTGTTGTGGTTACGTTGCCACTAACTGCTGCCTCGCCTTTGTCTCCGGCCGCTTTCTCTCGGCGCCTGCGTGGTTTCCTCACTGTTGCTGTGAGTTGATTTTTTTTGGTTTGTGTTTCTCTCTCTTTCTCGCTATTTCTCTCTCGCGCGCGCTCTCTCTCTGTCGTTGGATCCGTGCAGGTGTCTCCGGCGAAAGCAGCAACAGCAGCGACGATGGTTCTTCCCAGCCGCCAGAAGGTAGACCGCCGCTCCCGCAAGGGCAGCAAGAAGCACCGCCCCGAGATTATTGTCGTGGACCTCAAGGACCACGTGCTGGGGCGCGCCGCCGCCATCGTCGCCAAGCAGCTTCTGCTCGGCAAGAAGATCACGGCTGTGCGTTGCGAGCAGCTGACAATCGCAGGGACGGAGATCCGCAACAAGATCAAGTACCTGCAGTTCCTCCGCAAGCGGAAGCTGTCAAACCCGAAGCTTGGCCCCTTCCACCACCGCAGCCCCTCTGACATCTTCCTGCGTACGGTGCGCTCCATGCTGCCCCGCTACACCAAGCGCGGCCAGAAGGCGCTGCGCCAGCTCGTCGCGTACGAGGGCGTTCCCACGAATGTTGTGCGCAC